ACTCCCTGCTGAGCAGAGACCCCCCCCACCCCGATGCGGAACTCGATCCCAGGACCCTGGGATCATGACCTGAGCCGAAGGCAGAGGCTTTAAACCGCTGAGCTGCCCACATGCCCCAGGTTTGGGTACTTTTTAACTTAATCCTTAAACTTAAATCTCTATTTCTTTAAAATGCACCAGCATTTGAAATACCTGGTTTCGAAGACTCTACCATGATATAAAGTCCCAGCTTGTTCATTAGGTATCTACCAATTAATTTAACTTTTAACACATTTATTGTGTTGTCTCTATGTGCTAGGCACTGTGCCAAACATTAATGTACAGTAAAACAAACAAGGTTGTGAGGTTCAAGATAAGAGAAATACATACACAGATGGGGAAAAAAACTATAGGAAACCTGTCACATTGCCTCTGCCTGATGTCTGAGTCATGGGGTGGTGTGGCTCCCCCAGGCCTCTGCCTGGATTCATTTAGGTAGGTGGAAGTTGTTTATGTTCCATCAAAGTTGGTGAGATGTGAATGGCAAAAAGGAATTTAGGGTAGCTGTTTGTGGGTTATGTGACCTTGTTTACTGCATTCCCCTTGGACTCAGTTATGCAATGAGTACTCAGTAAATATATATCAGTGATATTAAAAAAATGAAATTAAACTGAATAAATTTTAAAGATCTTATTGGTTTCATTAAATTCATGAATTCATGAATTACTCAGCATTCAATCTAGCAGATAGAAAGAAGCTCTGAGGATCTGTACAAAATGGAAAACTTTGCAGTCAGAAGGGAGCAGAAACAAGGCAGTAATACTAAGCCAAAAAAGGGGTTTAATATTGCAAGGATATTTTCCTTTAGGGGATGGCAAGAGTCTGTCAGAAAGACTACCTAACTAACATTGATCAGATGATTCCTGATTGCTAGTGTAAGAATCCATTTTTGGGAGAGCCGAAATTATAAGTTAAGGCTCATTTGTGACATGGGGCTTAGCATAAGTGACTTCATTTGAAACCTATTGTCTTGTTTTTAACAGTCAACTCTTCCATAGAAGAGTTCAATAGAAGCCACTCGGGGCACCTGGTTGGCTCAGTTAGTTAAGCCACTGTTTTTGGCTCAGGTCATGATCCCAGGGTCCTGAGATCAATCCCCTCATTGGGCTCCCTGCTCAGTGGGGAGCCTGCTTCTACCTCTCCCTCTTCCTCTTGCCTTTGCTGGTGTGCTCACTCTCTCAAATAAATAAATAAACTTAAAAATATATATATACAGAACCCTTTGGCCATAGAACTTTTTGATTTCTTTATCTATTTAATGATTTTAATAATCACTCTAAATCTATTCTTATGCAAGAGTCTTCGAGTGAAGTACGTTATTTCTGGGTTTTCTTCCCCTCCCCCTATTTCTCCAGAGTGACTGACAAGTGGCCACCCAAACAGGGGCGTATTGTACCAATGGTTATTTTTCCTTAATTAGGAGTATTACTGGATGCCGGGGTGGCTCAGTTGGTTAAGCATCTGTCTTTAGCTCAGGTCATGATTCAGGGGTCCTAGAATCTAGCCCTGCTCAGTGGAGTCTGCTTCTCCTTCTGCTCCCAACTCCCATACTCTCTCTTTCTCTCTCTCTCTCTCTCAAATAAATAAATAAAACCTCAAAAAAAAAAAAAAAAAAAGGTAGGGATATTACTTCCATTCCAGATCTTCAGTCTCTGAAAGGCAAAGTGGGCATTAGTGAATTGCTGAAGGCCCAGAAAGTCTTAGGGTGATTTTGTTTCTTAAAAAGTTCTTGGCCAACTTATAAACTATCCTTGTAATCATCTGAATTTCTTCTTTGAGATCCCTGAGGAGGAGGAGCTAAAGTAGGGTGCTGGGCAAGGAATTACTGGGTACGTCTTACAGTCTTCCATAGTATGAGCTAATAATGGCTAATAGAGAAAATGGTCGACTTTAATATCTAATCAACATTTATAGTATTTTGGTTAAATATTGGCCACATATAAGATACCATCAGGCCATAAGAGGAATGTAGAGGCATAAAAAGAGAAACTCACCAAGTAGTTGAGAGGACAAGAGATAATCAACCACAAAGCACATAGCTACCTGCATAAGAATATGCAGTGATACCGAGTGATTGGTGCAGGCTACCAGTACTCCAGTTTAGTCACTGAGGACAAAAGGTTCTTTATGGAAAATGCTGGTCATGATTTAATACATGAAGGTAAATACAATCCAGATTTTATCTGGAGGGAGGTGTTGAACATTCTAAGGAGGATGGAGATGGGGCAATGGAAAAGAAAGCTTTGGACAGTTACATACTAAGTATGTCATTAGAGTGGAGGTGGGGTGTTCAGACAGGACTCTTTGATAGCTGCTCTAGTAGTACCCAAACTGGGATGCCCTGTGTCATCAATATAGACTTAGATGTCCATCAGTGGCCAGTCTTACAACTCCCAGTTTCAAGCTTGTTCTGAGTCTGCACTACCTGAAAGAGTGTGAGTCACCTCAGAAATCAAGCGACACTGAGCAGAAGCAGGGAACTTACCCCTTTCAAAGCAGATGAAGTGTTTCCCATTAATGCTGTTGCTCCCACACAGATTAAAGCTTGTATCAGAAATTAAGCTGTTCAACAGTTTTTTAATCAAGTTCTAAATATGGCATCCTTCATATGTGAGGTAATTGTGTGTCTGTATGCAAATTCTGAGAGACTATACTTATTTGGTTATAAATCCAGCTACAGTTTTTTTAAAAAAAAGTAGATAGAAATCTGGAAAAATGAGTAAACACAATTAATTAGATGAGATATTTATCCTTGGTTTAAATTAGAAAAATTACTAAGAGAAGCTATGAAAACCTCAATTAAAACAACCAGCATGATTTTATTTTTCACTGTTAAGAGGGCAGAAAAAAAAATGCATGAGTAAAATAAATATATATTTGGAGATGACACCATCTTGGCATTTCCAGGCATTCTTTTCTAAATATATTCTTTATCTAAGCTGTCTTGCAATACTTTTAATATAATTAAAAGCACATAATGAGTGCCAGACTTGTCAATTTCAACAACAAAGTGCTGAAATTTGCAGTGAAACTGAGAGATCCATCTCCCACACATTGTAATGAATAGGTTCATAAAAGGAAAATAGTTTAATTACATTTTAGTTCATGGATTGTTAATAGGCTGGAGTATCTAAATTGAATAATGTGATTCTGGTAATAATTATGTGTAAATGAACTTGTTTAAATGATATTTTACAGCTTCTTTATAAAATTACAGCTAGAGGCAATCCAGTGATAGACAGACAAAGGCCATGCAAAAATTATCATAAACTATTAGCTTGTTTGCAAAGGGTTTTATGTTAATCTTTTAGTACTTAAAGCAATCTGCAATTAACATATCATGGGGAGCTGCCTCCGAGCAAAGGCATGCAAATTGAAGTGCTTAGATAAAAAGCCATTCACGTTGGGGGGAGAAAAAAAAGAAAGAAAAAAAAATAGAAAAGGAAAAAAAAATCAAAGAAAGGGTGGCAAAGTACTCAGAAGGTGCTGGTTTTATATTTGAGATTAAGGAGGTGTAATGATTGTGTTATCTAACTATGGCTGTAATTAAAGCTTTTCTCCTGCAGACATGACAATAGATACTGCATTGATTTCGGTGTTTTAATTGTGAAAGTCATTTTATTTCAGGGCAGAAGATATGAATAGCCTGAATCAAAGGGCTAGAAGATTGCTTTGTTGATAGTACTTGTTCGACAGCTGCCTAGCTGCTTAATACACAAGTGTGGAGAATACAGAGAGACCCAGGGAGGTGCTGGGTATTGTAATTCTCCCGCTGGTTTCCTTTCCTTTTATGAAAAAGGCGAGGATCTGCATACTGATTGTAAACAAACAGCCTTTTCATACCTCACTGATGTTTTTCCTCCCCAACTTTGCAGAACAAAAGAAGTCATAAAGGGCCTTGAACTAACTTTACTACTGCTCCTTTTAAGCTACAGAAGTTTATGCAAAGTAATAAAACCTTCCTTGCTGGCCGAGATATCATCCCTCTAATGGAGAACAAAAGTCTCTAAGTGGTCACTGTAGTTATCACAAATAGCCTTATGACAGAAACAGTTTGTTGGGAGAGATTGGATTATTTACATTAAGGGCATATCCACAAAATCTCACACACTGTTAGGTTGAGATTAGGACTTATCAGTTTTTATATACAAACTGCAGGGGGGGGAATTAAGTGAGGAGAAAGCATATAGGATCCCAGAGCAAAGAGGATCCTAAAAGGAGTTCTAGAAAAATGAACTCAGTGTGGCCTTTTTTCAAGTCTCACATTCTTGGCGATTTCCTCCATAACAGTTCAGAGTGAACTGAGGTGAAACCCCGTGATTTCTAATTATTTCCATTATTCTATTGCTGTATCTCTTCTTTGTGCTTTGAAATATTGAATGCATTTTTCAACAGGTCTGAGTAATAGTAGATTCGGTTTGGGGGACATTTGCCCCTTTAAGCGATGTGGTTTGTAATAACCACACACCAAGGTATTGTGGGGGAGGAAAAATAATTTTTCCTCTAAATTCCCCTTCTAGGTCTTGGTTGAGATACCTTCATAATAAGAGAAGAAACAAACAAAAAGAAAAAAGCAAAAAAAAAGAACAAAAATAAAAACAGATTAAGAGGCGAAAGACAAAGTTTAGTAACATGTATACCTCCTGAACACATGATACCCAGAAAGATACTTGGGAAGACTAACTCCACCTTAAATACCATTTTCAGCTAAAGATAAAAAAGACACTGGGGGTTGTGGGAGGTAACTAGGAAAAGCACAGCAAAGGTGGGTAGGGTTGTTATGCAGGTTTAAGACCTGGCTTCCCCATTGATAAAAGTTTCTAGAGATTGAATCATCTGCCTCTTCCTGATACATCCTTACACTTGGAGATTTCCTTTAAAAATATAAATGTTCCTGGTGCCTCCCGCCCCCTCTTCCTCCTCCGAGCTCGTCCAAGCCCGTGCACCCCACTGCTGTCGCCATGGTTGCGCTCACCCAGAATCCGCAGTTCCAGAAGCTGCAGAAATGGTACCGCGAGCACGGCTCTGACCTCAACTTGCGCCGCCTTTTCGAAGGGGACAAGGAACGCTTCAGCCACTTCAGCTTGAACCTGAACACCAGCCATGGGCATATTCTGGTGGATTACTCAAAGACTCTTGTGACCGACACTGTGATACAGATGCTGGTGGACCTGGCCAAGTCCAGGGGCATGGAGGCTGCCCGGGATCGCATGTTCAGCGGCGAGAAGATCAACTTCACAGAGAAACGGACAGTGCTGCATGTGGCCTTGCAAAACGGGTCAAACACACCCATTCTGGTGGATGGCAAGGATGTGATGCCAGAGGTCAACAGGGTCCTGGAGAAGATGAAGTCTTCTGTCAGCGTGTCTGCAGTGGTTAATTGAAGGGGTACTCGGGCAAGCCCATCACGGACGTCATTAACATTGGCATTGGTGGCTCTGACCTGGGACCCCTCATGGTGACCAAAGCCCTTAAGCCGTACTCTTCGGGAGGTCCCCGGGTTTGGTTTGTCTCCAACATCGACGGGACCCACATCGCCAAAACTCTGGCCACCCTGAATCCTGAGTTGTCCCTGTTCTTCATTGCCTCCAAGACCTTTACCACCCAGGAGACCGTTACGAATGCAGAGACGGCGAAGGAGTGGTTTCTCCTGTCGGCCAAGGACCCTTCTGCAGTTGCGAAGCACTTTGTTGCCCTGTCTACCAACACGTCCAAAGTGAAGGAGTTTGGGATTGACCCTCAAAACATGTTCGAGTTCTGGGATTGGGTAGGAGGATGCTACTCGCTGTGGTCAGCCATTGGACTCTCCATCGCACTGCATGTGGGATTTGACAACTTCGAGCAGCTGCTCTCAGGGGCTCACTGGATGGACCAACACTTCCGAACGACACCCCTGGAGAAGAACGCCCCTGTCATCCTGGCCATGCTGGGCATCTGGTACATCAACTGCTTTGGGTGCGAGACGCAGGCCATGCTGCCCTCTGACCAGTATCTGCACCGCTTTGCGGCCTATTTCCAGGAGGGCAACATGGAGTCCAACAGGAAGTACATCACCAAGTCTGGCACTCGCGTGGACCACCGAACGGGCCCCCTTTTGTGGGAGGAGCCAGGGACCAATGGCCAGCATGCCTTCTACCAGTTCATCCACCAAGGCACCAAGATGATACCTTGTGACTTCCTCATCCCAGTCCAGACCCAGCACCCGATAAGGAAGGGTTTGCACCACAAGATCCTCTTGGCCAACTTTTTGGCCCAGACAGAGGCCCTGATGAAGGGGAAGTTGACAGAGGAGGCCCGGAAGGAGCTGCAGGCCGCAGCAAAGAGTCCCGAGGCCTTGGAGAAGCTGTTGCCACACAAGGTCTTTGAAGGAAATCGCCCAGCCAACTCCATTGTGTTCATCAAGCTCATGCCATTCATTCTGGGAGCTTTGATTGCCATGTATGAGCACAAGATCTTTGTTCAGGGTATCATCTGGGACATCAACAGCTTTGACCAGTGGGGGGTGGAGCTAGGAAAGCAGCTGGCCAAGAAAATCGAGCCCAAGCTTGACGGCAGTAGCCCAGTGACCTCTCATGACTTTTCTACCAATGGGCTAATCAATTTCATCAAGCAGGAGTGTGAGGCCAGAAGCCAATAAACTCATGCCTGGCTGCAAAAAAAAAAAAAAGGTTCCTTACAAATGGGAACTTTTTACTTGACTTTCAGCACTTCTCCTGTATCTGGAGTTTTTATAAAACTAGCCTAAAATAATCCTTGGGCCAAAGAGGCAGACTTTGGGATGACAAATTCAGCTACCCTTCCATGATACAAATCTAACAAGAGTAACATCAGTAATCCTTTACTGAGTGCTGCACCATTTTTTGTTTTTTTTGTTGTTTTTGTTTGTTTGTTTGTTTCTTGTTTTAAGTACATTACTAACCTCTTACAACAACTCCAGAGAAGTTGGTGGAATGAGCTCCACTTTTAAAAAGAAGATACTTAGGCTCAGAGAAGCCAAGTAAACTGCTCAAAGTCACACAGCCAGTCAAGGACAGAGGCTGGTTGGAACCTAGGAAGTAGGTTCCAGAGACTGTAGGCTTACCCAGCAAATGAACTAGGTTGAAGCCAGAGAACAGAACAGATACCAGCAGTGTGGATTGTGAATAACCAGCTGTGAAGTCCTAGTTAGAAGGACTTGGAATCCCCCAGGCTCCTTAACTTTTTTGGTGCCTGGATGCCTCTGAGAGTTTGGTCAAACCCATGGACCCCTTCTCAGGCTAATGATTTTCAAATGCACTAAACCAACTATATGATTAAAAGGCAAATTAAGTATATTGAAATACTATTGCCAAAAAATTTAAAAATCAAGTTCATGACTTGTACTTTATGTGCTTCTTAACACAAATTATAGAGCTCTAAAAGTAGGTCTAACATCCACCGTAATTACAAAGTAGTGGTGAATGTAAACAGTATTTCAGATTTCTGCAATCATGTGACTTGAATATATTTAATTTTTATTGATGAGATTTTGTTGCCTACATTTATAATCAAAGAAAATATTAAATGGCCCTTAGAAGTTAGGGAAAATAAAAATATCCCTTTATATTTTTATATAGGTTATGTATTATAGAAGTACATATATAAGTACACATTTTTATATATAACAGTTTTATTTCTTTCTCATCAAAGTTCTCAGACCCCTGAGTTCTAGAGGTGTGCAAGGCTCACGTTTAAGAACACTTTTGATTTTACATGGGAGGAAACTGAGGTCCAGAGAACAGGATGAATCACCCAAGATTATCAGTAGTTAGTGATAAGATGTAGATCACAGCTTGTAGATTACACTTAGGGAATTTAAGGAAACTTAAAATTGTGTTTTGTTGATCCCCCCCCTTTCTCCTAGGACTTTGGTAGCTTTTGCTGACATCCTCTTAGAGCCCTAGACCCTTCTTTTTGTCTTTGCAAAATTGTGGATTTCCAAGTGGGAGCACCAGACAATTGCCTTAACCCTTCAGTCATCTGTTGGCAATTCCTGCCTTCTTCTTGGGCCTTGATGAGTGACTGGTGCCAGTAGGCAGTGCTGGGTAGAGACCAGAGAGTGCAGGCCTTGGGGGACTGCAGTCACTGGGGACCCAGGGAGATGCTCTGTGATGCCAACTAAAATTTGAGAACTTGTTAGTTAGGGGAACAAGAATGCACATTTATTGGGCACCTGGGTGGCTCTGTCAGTTAAGTGTCTGCCTTCGGCTCAGGTCATGATCCCACGGTCCTGGCATCAATTCCCTGCATCCGGGTCCCTGCTCACAGGGAGCTTGCTTCTCCCTCTCCTCCCTGCTCGCTATCTCTGTCTCTCTCTCTCAAAATCTTAAAAATAAATAAATAAATAAATAAATAAATAAATAAATAAATTTTTATTATGCATATGTTTTTGTTAGTTCAGGCTATGACAAGATACCGTAGACTGAGTGGCTTGAATGACAGATTTCTTTCTCTCAGCTCTGGAGGCTGACAGGCCAAGATCAGGGTGCCAGCATGAAGACCTCTTCCCTGGTTTCCTCACGCAACAGAGAGAGAAGCAAGCTCTCTAGTCTTCTCTTATAAGAACATGAATCCCATGCGTGAGGGCTTCACCTTCATGTCCTAATCCCCTCTCAAGTGCCCCTCCTCCAAATACCATCCCACTGAGGTTCAGACTTTGACATTTGGGGGAGGGGATACACACATTCAGTTCATAGCAAAATCTTTCCTATGCATGAACTTTGTATATCCTCTTACAGTTAATAGTCAGAGAGGCCTAGATGAGGGTCTCCTCATTTTGGAGAGGAGGAGAGGTGCTCATGGTGAGCCAGCAGCCAAGGTAGAATGCCATCTGTGTACTCTCAGCCTTTTGAGGCAGGTACCTTGGGTCCCCACTTACCTATTAGGAAACTGAAGCTCAAAAATATTTAGTAAGCACCAACCTGTCCACTCACTAAGCAAGAGAGCCAGAAATTTCACTCAGTTCTGTTCCTTCTACTGCAGATTTTTGTTCCCAGATCCCATAACCCTTATATTGAAGGGATAATCACCACCAGTCTTCCTTACCCAGATGCTTTTAAACAGCTGTTTATTGCAAAACTGTTAGGTACATAACACTGTCCCTCCCAAGTAGACATGGAGGAGGGAAGCATATAAGAAATATGTAAGGATATCCTTACCCTTGGGCTTACTGTTTTAACTCTCCTAACTGGACAAATATAGCTAGCACAAAAGGAACACATGGAAAATGTTCAATGGCAAGAATGTACAATGCCAACAGTGTAATAATAGTAACCATGATGAAGATGATCATGGCTAACATTTATTGAAGGCATGATATTCTAAGCATTTTCCAGAAGTTATTTCATTTGATCACACATTCCAATAAGAAGTATGTATGGTGGCAACACCACTCTTGCAGTCGGCAGGAAGGACACTGCCAAAGGGCCCCACATATCACGAACAAAGAAACATGGGCATAGATGTTTTCTTTATTGATTTGGTAATAACATTTGTGGTAGCCTTGGTCATGAATTGAGCACACAGGTATTATGGCAGAGGAAGGGTAAGATCCCCCAATTAAGCTAATTCTTCAGGGGCCTCCAGAGACAAGTTTTCCTCCAGCACACCTTATTTTGCTGACACAGAATTTTTAGGCAACTCTAAATGGTTCCTAAAACTGTATATTCTGAGGAAAGGGTGTGTGGTTTGCTCCCTAGACAGTCACTTTGCATTATTTGGAGAACCCAGCTTTCAACAAAGCAGCTGCTTACTTGAGTTTCAGGGGAGAAGCCATGATTTTTTTCTCCCTCCTCCTAATCTTAGCTCAGATAACAGGTCATAGTGTCCTACACACTTCACTAAGCTTCTCTAACAGATTTTCACCATGCCATTATCTCAGCTAAAGAAAAAATAAATAAAATTTAAAAAAAATTAATGGTGCACCTGGCTGGCTTAGTCAGTAGAGCATGCAACTCTTGATCTCAGGGTTGTGAGTTCAAGACCCACATTGGGTGGAACACTGAAAAAGTAAAATAAAAGAAAAAAAGAAAAGAAAAAAAGAAAAAAATTAATAATTCCATAGCATTTTCTAATACCCAGACCATATTTTAATTTCCCCAGTTGTCTCAGAAAATCCTTTTGCATTGCGTTTGTTTGAATCAGGATCCAAACAAGGTCCATATATATCATTTAGTTGCTATATCTCTTTCACCTCTTTTATTCTGTCATAGTTCCTTTTCTCTTCTTTTCCGTTCTCTCTCTCTCTCTCTCTCTCTCTCTCATTACACATTGAATCTTTTGGAGGAATATGGTCATTTGTCCTTGGGAAAGAGCCACTTTCTGATTTTGGCTAGTTGCTTCCTTGTTGTGTCATTCACCCTGTTCTTCTATCCTGTATACTTCCTTTAATCTGGTGTAAGTCAGGAGTGTGCTTAGATCCAAGTTCATTTTTTTGAATGTGGTGCTGTATGCTTCCTATTACATCATGTTCAGCAGACACATAATTAATATCTAATTAGTAGATTCAGATGGTGATTTTTTTTATAAAGTTCCCAACCAACCTGTCACCTAGTGATAGAGTATGTTTATGATGGTAAACTAGGTCCCTTTTTTCATTGCTGGTTCCAATATGGTAATTTTCTAATTCTGTCATCTCTTTTGCAGATACTACCTGGAATTCTTTGGTAGAGAAGAACTCCTCTATATAGCAATGATATTAAAACTTTTCTTCTAGAAGCAGAAAGTTGGTTTAAATATATCTCATGTGAGAGCTGAAACTAAGAAACATAAATGTGAAGGGTGTCAGTGGAAGTGCAAGTGGAATGCTAGGTGAGCCCTGTGGTCCCTGGCTTTTCTTCATCCTCTGTACCTGTGGCGGAGGAGCCCTTGGGCTGTGGACAGCACAGCTGTGGGGGAGGGTGAGCTGGTGAATAACACTGCCATGACCCTGTCCTCCTCAGGGTCATGACAGTGTTAGGGTCACAGGCAGTGCACACCTTATATTAGAGTGTGTTGTTTTGGGAAACAAAGTGAGTACCCCCAGTACTTGAAGAGGCTTGCCACTCATCTGCACTGTGACTTTGGAGCTGTTAGCATGCACCTTGTTTCCTCATTTGTAAAGTGAGAATAAGAGTTCTAACTTGGAAACTGAATGAATGCGGGCTCAGTTACAACTTCATAAGATGATTGTGGTAATTCCATGTGCTTAATGCTTTTGAAATGCTCGATACATTGCCTGCTGTATAACAATGCTCAAAAATGGTAGCTTGATTATTCTTATTGTAATCAACCTCTGTATTGGCTTCCTATGTAGCAAGCCACAAAGTGCATGGCTTAAAACAATAGGAATTTGCTCTCTTACACTTCTAGAGGCCAGAAGTGTGAATTCAGTGTCAGTAGGGCCACATTTCCTCTGTGACTCTGCGTAGAATCCTTCTTTGCCTCTTCTTGATTTTGGGGGATGGCTAGAAATTCTTGGTTTTACTTCCCTGTAGATGCATCTTACAATCTCTGCTTCTGTCACTACATGATTGTCTTCTCCCTGTGTGTCTCTCCACATTGTATTCCCTCTGTGGTTTCACATCATCTTATAGAGAGACACCAGTCTTACTGGATTAAGGGCTCACCCTACTCCACCATAACCTCATCTAAATTAATTACATC